AGAAACTATAGCCTTAGTTTTATACTGAATAGCCTCTAATGGGCATTACATTTCAAAGCTAGTAGCTTTAATTTAAATATGTACCACCTTTTTGAATTATCAAAGAGAGAATAAATTATATTCAATGTGGAGTATTTTTTTCTGAATTAGATTTATTTGAAAGTCGTTAGTTGAAGATGGTGGAGAAAAGGAAAAAACTCACCCACGTTCTCTCAAATTCCCCTCCAAACAACTTTAAATAATTCCTCAAAATGAATTCTATAGCTGCAGAACCCACAAAAGGATGGGATAAAACAATTTTCCAACCCAAGACTACATAGAAGGTCAGCAGGGAGGATCTGATGAGAGTGGAGGTGATAGTGGAGCACAGTTGAGCACAGACTATCCCTAGACAAGTCAGCAGCAAGCAACTAAATCTGTAATGCTAGGTTCTGGAGCTCTTGGCCCACAAACAGTAAGGAAGTTGGGCAACTGATCAGAAGAAGAATACAAAGGAGACTTTGAAGGTACTAGTTGCATTACTCTACTGTATTGCCCATGCATGGATCTGGGTGGAGTCCTAGGGTGAAGAGTAGCACTAGCACATCAAAGCTTGTAGCTGTAGGAGAGTAGGGACCCTGGTTACAGTTCCAGGTAAGAAAAGAGTGCTTGTGGTAACTCACAGACGAGATTACAGGCCAGGAGTAGTAAACATAACCCTCGTTAGATCATACCACCTTGTAAGAACTGAAAACTCATGAATCCTCAGAACTAGCTCTGAAAACAACTACACAAAAAATCTGAAGCTTAGAACAGTGCTCCCTCCACCCCAGGAACAAAGACCAACTTTAACATAAAAGTTAAAAATCAAGAAATAGGCTGGGAAAGTGAGCAAACAAAAGGAGAAAACAAAAGAACCTGACCATAGAAAGTTACTATGGTGACAGGGAAGAAAAAAAAATAAACTCAAAAGACAACAAAGTAAAAAACTGCTACATCTAAATCCTCAAAGAAAAATGTGAACTGGCCTCAGGCCCAAAACAGAATACCTGGAAGAGTTTTTAAAAGAATTTTGAAAATCAAAAAAGAGAGGTAAAGGAAAAATCAGGAAAAGAAATCATAATGATAAAATAAAAGTAATTTTTTTAAAAAGTCAACATCTTGGTAAAGGGGGCACAAAAATTGATCAGGGAAATGCAAATTAAAGTAGCTCTGAGTTACCACCTCACACCTATCAGATTGGCTGATGTGACAGAAAAGGAAAGTGACAAATGTTGGAAGGAATGTGGGAAAATGGAGACACTAATGCACTGTTAGTGGAGTTGTGAACTGTTTCAACCATACCTGAGAACAATTTGAACTATGACCAAAATGCTATAAAACCATGCATACTATTTGACCAAGCAATACCACTGCTAGATCTGTATCACAGAGATTAAAAAAGAAAAAAAGAAAAAAGACCTATATGTAGAAAAATAGGTACAACAGCTCTTTTTGTGGTGGCAAAGAATTGGAAATTGAGGGGACAACCATCAATTGGAGAATGGCTGAACAAGTTTGATATATGATTGTGATTAAATAGTGTTAATACTATAAGAAATAATGAGGAGGATGTTCTCAGGAAAAAAAAAACTTGTACTTACATAAACTGATGCAAAATAAAACAAACAGAACCAGGAGAACATTGTACAAAGTAACAACAATATCATATGATGATCAACTGTGAATGTCTTAGCTATTGTCAGCAATACAATGATCTAAGACAATTCTGAAGAACTTATGATGAAAAATGTTATCCATATCAAAGAAAGAACGGATGAGTCTGAATGCAGATCAAAGCACCTTTTTTTTTAACTTTCTTTTTTGTGTTTTTTCTTGTGTTGTTTTTTTGTCTGTGGTTTCTTTTACAGCATGACTAACATAGAAATATGTTTTGTGCAAGTGCAGATGTATAACCTTTATTAAATTACTTACCTCTTCAAGGAGGGACCTGGGGAGGGAGAGAGAAAGGAAGAGAATTTGAATTCAAAAATGTTAAAAACAAATGTTAAAAACTGTTTTTACATGTAATTGGGGGGAAAACAATGTTACATGTAAAAATTGGTTTTAGGAAAAAGAAAGTTATACACACATTATGCCTAAAACCATATGTATGTATGTATGTATGTATGTATGTATGTATGTATGTATGTATAATACATATTATGTATTTTATATGAACATATATGTGCACGTATATGTATATGCACACATACATATATACATAGGCTCACTATAAACTGCCAACACTTGATTAGTTAAAACACTTTTATCATCCTTTCAACCTTTATAACTTAGAGTTTACTGTACCCTCAACCTTTTCACTGAAAATCAGGTTCACAACTTTAAAGCTATCCTTAATTTTTCCTTTTCCCTAATTTTTCAGACCTGATCATTTGCCATATCTTGTCAGAACTAAAAGAACCCTTCATATTTCTTTCTTATTATATTTCCCATCTGTCCATTTACCTTTTGTGCATTCACATGGTTATCACCCTAGTTCTATTCTTCATTACATTTTGTTTGGTCTATTGTAGCATCCTCCCATTTTAATTTTCAGCTTCAGTCTTTCTCTTCTCCAATTTATTGCCACACGGATGTCAAAATAATCTTCCTAATGAACAAATAAGACCATTTCCCTCACTTTCCTGAGTGAGAATCTTCAGTGTCTCCCTATTAATTCATGGGAAAAACACAAACTCTTCAGCTTGGCAATTAAAGTCCATTTTGACACTAGCCTGCTTTCCAGCCTTATCACATATTGCTCCTTCATTTAATTTCCCAGACAAACCAGTAAGTCTACTCATTCCCAAACTTTAGACACCATTATTTCAGCATCCTCACTCTTGTTTAGATTTTCTATCATTCTTAGCCCTCCCTTCTGACTTCTGCCTCTTTAGTTTCCCCACCACACTCAATGTTCAGTTTGCTGACATTTCTAAATGAAAAAGACCTATTCCCCTTAATTCAAGGTTCTTAAGCTGGGGAAAATTAACTTTTTTTGTCAATTATATTGGCAATATAATGTTTCCCTTTGTAATCCTGTGTACTTATGCACTTAAAAACATTATCCAGAGAAGGGGTCCATGGACTTCACCACACTGCCCAAAGAGTCCAAGATACATAAAAGTGGTTAAAAACCCCAATCTTGTTTGCTAGTACTTGCTTCCTCCTTGTGCAGTAATCATGGATATTCTTATCCATATATATCTTTTATCTCCCCAATAACTGTAAGATCCTGGAGGCCAGAGACTGTTTTTTTGATTTTATGTTTGTCTCTCCACAACCTAGCACTTAGCACAAAGCCTGAGACAATGGAAATAGGTAAGGAGCCCAGAGAATAGAGTATTGTACCCATAGTCAGAAGATCTGAATTAAAATACGACATCTGATATTTACAAGCTGTGTGATCCTGGATAAGTTTCCTCATCTATGAAAAAGGATAACAATAACATCTACCTCTTAGGGTTATTCTGAGGATAAGATTGATTAATATTTGTAAAGTGCTTTGTAAACCTTAAATTGTTATACAAATGCTGCATATTTATTATTATTATTATTATTATCATTATTATCTTGTTAGATTACATTAGATTTGATGCAATTGTTATCTAAGACCCTTGACATTTATTTTAGGTGAATAATATATGCATATAGATTCATAGTGACATATTGCATTTTTCTACTAGTCAACCTCGATTCTCAGGGCTTATGAATAACAAACCACAATGAACCACTAAGAAACTGCTGCTTTAGTACTTCCATGAAAATATTAAAAGCCTATAGCAAAGAAAACCTTCTCTAACATTGATTAGAACCCTTAAGTTATACCCAGAACCAATTTACTTTCCCGGGAGTCCTGTGGATAGGTTATGAAATAAGCCTGAATTGAATGCCCAGAGATGACTAGAAGTTGTAGAGAATTTCTTGAATAGAATGCAGTCCCAACCTTGTGAATGAAAGGGAAAGGTGACAAAGAATTAAGCATTTGGCACCTTTAGAAGTACAGGACTGTAGTAAGTCTGTGAGTCATTCATAACCAGACAAAGCTTTTCATATTTTAGAAATCTGGTTCTATAATCCACAACGCTGAAGAGAGGAATCTTGAGTGAGATCAAACACAGATAACTATAACTATAACTATAACTATAACTATAACTATAACTATAACTATAACTATAACTATAACTATAACTATAACTATAACTATAACTATAACTATAACTATAACTATAACTATAACTATAACTATATATGTGTGTGTGTGTATATATATATATATATGTGTGTGTGTGTGTGTGTGTGTATATATATATATATGTGTGTGTGTGTGTGTGTGTGTGTGTATGTTTGGTGCCGGGGAGTTTCTGTTGAAATATGGAGTCATTTTGGATTAATATCCATATAATGAACCTTCTTATTACGTAATGAACTACTGCCTTTGGTACAGTCTATTTGAAAGGACTAAATGAAATTGGAATTGAAATTCAATTGCTTGTTGATTATTGGAAGGAATAAGATGAATATTATATTTGTCTCCATAAAACAAATGAAAGACAGTGCTATGATTCTGGGTAGAGCTCTAAGCAGATTATTTTTTATAAGGTTATGATTTTCTCTGTCACTGCAGAAGTCAGCAAGACAAAATAATGATGGCACTCCTTCCAAAGGTAAAACAGAGGAAATAAAAACATCCATCTTTGTAACTTTAGGGGTTCTTTTCTATATAAAAAGCATGAATTACCTCTACAAATGTTTCCTTTGCCTTTCCCTCTCCCAACTCCCAGGTTAATGTTTTAACTTTTTTTTTCTTTCATTCCCACAGTGATTTGAAGAGATAATTCTTGATAGAATTTACATTTACTTTCCATGACAATCTGGTGATCAATAGTGAATAGCTGTCTCACTGGGTCAAAAACTTAAAGCATTTTCAATTTTTTAAATGGTAATTCTCATATTTTTTTGTCTTTCTTCCCTCTTAGACTGTGTCGGTGTCTGTATCTGTGCTAACATTGAGCTGCATAGCCTTGGATCGATGGTATGCCATTTGTCACCCTTTGATGTTTAAGAGCACTGCCAAGAGGGCAAGGAACAGCATTGTAATTATCTGGATCGTATCATGCATCATTATGATTCCTCAGGCCATTGTCATGGAATGCAGCAACGTGCTCCCAGATTTAGCCAATAAAACCACTCTGTTTACAGTGTGTGATGAACGCTGGGGTGGTAAGTATGTTATTACCCACAAGCTGGGGTACTGGCATGCCAACTGCAAACCAAGTCTGACTCTGTTTTCTTGGCATCTCCCTAATTCTGGACCTTGTAAAAGTTCAGTATCTTTAAATAAATTTCATTTTTTGCGACCTCTAAATATTCCAGGGACACATAACTTAGTTTATATGTTTTTAGCACATATAAATAAAATATCAAGCTAATCCACACTTAGTCTTGTTAATCAGAAGGTGATACAGTAGCAAGAGTCCTTGAAACCAGATGATCTGGGTTTGAATCTAGGCTGTCTTGATTATTACCTATATGACTTTGACCAAGTCACCTCTAAATTCCCTTCTAGAACTGAAATGACAACCATATGCTTCTATGATCCATGATCCTAAGACAGCATGCTTTAGTGGAGAGAGCCTTGGACTGGAAGTTGGGAGACCTGAGTTTTAATCCAGACTCTGTCACTAAACACAGAGCTTCAGAGTTGAGAGGGATCTCAGCTGTTTTCTAGTATAACCTGTACCCCCAAAGAGCATCCTGTATAACATATCCAATGTATAGTCATATAGCTTCTTCTTAAAACTATCTGATGAGGTCAATCTACTTCATTCTGAGGAGGCCATTCTATTTTCAGATTCATTAATTAATAGGAATTTTTTTTTTCTTGGCTAAATCACTTCCTTCACATGGGCATTAGTTTCTTCATATGTAAGATGAGGAGGATGGATTAGATCAATTGTATCAAACTCAGATAGAAACTAGAGATACTATACCATACATAAGGACCCCTGTGGGATTCATATTGATGTAATTTTAAAATGTATTATTGTCTATGTTTTATGATATATATCTCCTCACTGGTCAGCTAGGTGGTGCAGTAGACAGAGTGCCAGGCCTAGAGTCAGGAAGACTCATCTTCCTGAGTTCAAATCTGGCCTCAGACACTTACTAGCTATGTAACCCTAGGTAAGTCACTTAACCCTGATTGCCTCAGTTTCCCCATGGAAATGGCAAACTACTCCAGTCTCTTTGCTAAAAACAAAAACAAAAAACCTATTGGATCACAAAGAGTCAAATGTGACTGAAATGACTGAACAACAACAAATCTCGTTACATTTTGATTTGGTTTGGACCTCTCTTGGAAATGTGGATAACAAGAAAACCAAATGCAACATCTTTGACATTTCTGGACTAGTTTGTCTTTGAAGATGTGTCTTTGTATTTACATCCCCAGCACTTAACACAATGCCTGGAATACAGAGGGTGTTTAATAAATGTTTCTTGATTGATTACTGTGTTGATGCTCTTCAAGATCCAATATTCTATTCAATCTTTGAAATAGTAGATCAAAGTTATTTACAGCTTTATAACATTTAAGATAGGCAAATCAATAAGCATTTATTAAACACTGTGTGTCAAGTAATGTGCTAAACACTGAGAATACTAAAACAAGCAGAGAAAAAAACATCCTTCCCTTTCCTTCTAGAAGTTGACATTTCAATGGGGCAAGATAACACATAAAAGGGAGCTGAAAGTGGGGAAGAGGGAGGAGATAAGACATAACTGGCCTGGGTCCTTTCCCTAAAATGGAAGTTCTAGGGGGAACTAATGAGGGAGAGAGGGAGGGAGGGAGAGAAGGAGGAAGAAAGAGAGAGAGAGAGAGAGAGAGAGAGAGAGAGAGAGAGAGAGAGAGAGAGAGAGAGAGAGAGATCCTAGGGGAGAAGAGTACTCCCAGCGTAAAAAGAATACTCCCAGTGTAAGAAGAAGTTCCAAGAGTGGTATGAACTTTCAGAGGAAGTTTTCTCATCTCCCCAACTTCCTCAAATAGTGACTTGATCCTCCACTTGCAAATTATATACAAAGTGGAGGTTGGAGAATTCAGTAGTCTGAACATAGATTGGTTGTAAGGCGCCTTTTTTCAAGTTCAGACACATACACATAATACATACTAAATGTATACACACATACACATATACACATGTATACATACATATATGTGTGTATAGTGTGTATATTAAGCACCTTTCAAAAATCTTATATACTTGTGGTGATGTGCTTTAAAATAGTATTATTCAATATAGAAATGTTCAAATTGCAAGCACTATTAGTGGACTTAAAATAGAACTAAATTTACCATCATATTTATAGGGAGGCATCTGGTGTACAATCTCTACTTGTATTCTGGTCAAACCACTCATCAGTCTTATTTCCCTTGCTAATAAAAATGGGAGTGATGAAACCATATCTACTAGGTTAGTTGCATTCACTCTTCATGGATATGTCCACGCTGTTCAAATATAACCAGCAGAATTTTAGAGCACTTCTCTTCATTTCCTGGCATACTGCACATAGTAGGCACATAATAAATGTCTGGCATATATATGACTATATGCTTCATTTGGACTGCATTCCCATCTTCAGAGACATTAGCATTCTTCTTGTAAAGACCCATGCTAATACATCCAGGAGGGCTCTGTACTGGCATAAACCCTGGGCCTGATGCCAGCAGCAGATTGTGTGCATTAGACAATAAGAAGGAGAGTGTTAGTTACTATGACATTAGAAAGCATGATCAGGGCCCATTAGTGACAGGCCAATGAAGAGAGCACTGCTTTTCGGCACAGACTACAAACGTGCTTTCCATTCTCTCTTCCTCTTTTAAAAACAGGTACATTTTATTGCCACACTTTTGTTAGGAAAGAACTTGGCTTCTTATGGCTAATTACTGCAATGGGTTATTTTAGAAAGATGTCATGCATTTATTAGAAAGACATTTTGTTATGGTAATACCCAAAAGTTTTGGCCAAAGTGGGAAAACATAGCAAGTGGTACCTGTCAGGTGTTACTCTTGGATATGGTAATATTTAACAGGTGTATCAATTATTTGGATCTAGGAATTGAGAACCAGCTCTTTAAATTCAGAAAGAATAATAGATTAAGCAGAGCTAATTGCACCTCAAATGTCAGGAATAAATTACAAATCACTGACAATGTAGGGGAATGGTTCTACTAAAATGAAATTTACAGGGCATTGAGGTAAAGTAGGGTACATTTAAAAGAGCTAGGCTGCTAGGGAGACAGATATTCTACAATCTTTTTTCAACCAATCAGTTAATATTGATTAGTGCTAGTTGTGCTAGGTAGCTGAGATCCAGGTACAAAGAATAAAACAACCCCTAAATAGAAGGTGTTTATCTAGGGTAAAGAGGAAGCACTGAAGAATGTTGGCGGAATATTATTGGTCTTGTTGTGGGAGGAGATGACCTGCTGATTTTATATCCCAGCTTGTCCACTTACCAGCCATGTGACCCAGGGAAAATCTTTCAATCTCTCTGAGCTTCAGTTGAAAAAAGATGATAATAATTTATACACTCTACCCAACATGGTGTAGTGAAGAAAGTATTTTGTAAAGAGACATAGAGGTGTGAACGAGCAATATTAAACCAGCAATATTTACTCTAAAATAAAATGTTCCTAAAATGTATTGTTCCTAACATTATAATTATTGATTATCTATGCGTTGCTAGCTTGCGCGCGCGCGCACACACACACACACACACACACACACACACATCTGTCTTAAATATAATGAACAAAACAAAATGAATAGAAAGTGCCAAGAAAAATAAGATCATTTCTCTTCAAGTCATATTCATTGTGTTACTATGTTCCAATATAATTTTATCTTTTGAAATAACTACCTGACACCTATTTCAAACATTCTCCCTGCCTTTACCCTCCTTCCTTTGCTTTAGGTCTCCTTCTGTGAAGCATGTAACCTCACTATGGGTCCGTGTAACTTAGGTCTCATCTTTAAAGTAAGATCTGTAACCTTGGCATAAGCCTACAGAAAAAGAGAAGGCTACACCTTCTAAGATTCTTTTCAGCTCTAAGGTAGAGTCTTGGAAAAGCTTCAATAAGGAGAAGCCAAGAATGAAAGTGACTGGTAATGGGTAGATATGGAGAATTTGTAGAAATAGCTTACTAAGAAAGGAAAAAGGAGGACTGACCCATGCTAGAGAATGGACAGGTAGAACAGATATTTTATTCTTGTGCAATGGGAACAGAAGGCTTCAGTTGACCAAGCCTATAAGTTTTCAGTTTTATTCAAAGACAGAGCCTGATTTTCCATAATGTCCAAGGGCTTTAGGCAAATAGGGAATTATCCTGTGATTTCATTAGCATAGGGAGCTTCAGGTTAGGAGGATCCTCTGCCAGGATAAAGAGACAGCTTCTCCTCATTGATAGTCTAAGAGAGTTGTCAAGAATAGTAACAGGTTAAACGAGTTGCCCAGGGTCACGCTGCTGGCATGTTTGGTGTAACATCTAGGTCTTCCTGATTCTAAAAAGTTCTGTCTGCTATGCTAATGTGCCTCTCTAGGGCTGTGCTTTGCTTAATTTTTTATCTTAGCCAAAATGTTTAGCGAGCAGATAAAAGGAACACCTGTTATCTTATAAATATCAGCTGTACTCTCTAAAATATGCTGCTCGTTAAATTTCCTTTATGTGACAGGTTTTTTTTGTTTGTTTTTGTTTTTGTTTTGTTTTGTTTTGCTTTCTGTAAACTTCAAATGATTCATATTCCCCCCGGAAAAGTAAGGCATTTTAACCCCCATTAACACATATCACAAAGCTTTGGAATCTAGCCAATACCTGTGAGTGTGCAGTTTTCAGATTAAGTCTGCGACCACATTATTTTCTAATTATCTTTGACCAGTAGATGAAAATGTATAAGCTGATTTCTAGTTTGAGAGTTTTATTGTCTAGCCCTAGTATTGATATTATGGAAAGCAATTATTATGAGATGCATACAAATGCACACTCAGGCTGCCGAAGTCATTTAGGAAAAAGGTTTGAAAGTGATTATATAATAGCCCATAATTACTTTAGCTGCTTATAAAAGCAAGAATTAAAATAATATAAAGCTAAATGGATCTTCTATAAAATCAAATTTAATACTAGTTATAAAACAGACTCTTAAAATATGAAATCCTATTGTTTAT